CTTAAAGGTTAACTGGGCTTAGTAAATGATCTCCTATAAAGGGTTTACCCAAGCTGGCCATAAACCCTAAGATTTTCAATGAGCGTGAATGGAGGAATCTCCCCTGTTGGCTATTTATTAGCTGGCACCCATGGCTGTCAGAATACTCGAACAGTCACTGCAGCTGATTGGCTGCTGTTTGGCCAACAACAAAACATTTGCAACTGCATTTCAGTCACATGCATCTGAGAGTTGTATACAACTTAATCTGTATACAATTGAGATGAATATCCCTATTCATAGTTTTAAACACTTCCTGATATATTTTTAAGGACTTGAACCTACTCAAGAAAGCAACTGAAAGGAATGGGCTCAACGGTATTAATGCCTGTGGATCACTGCTAACAACATTTCCTAAAGCAGGCAGTTAAGTGTTGGTACACACTGAGCTATATAACTGCAAACACTCTTAAAAAGGAACATGTCAGGAAAGAAATATTGGTAATGCTACGGTTGACTTGTTTTTGAGGGCAAAACCTCCAGAGTTCTCACCCTGATCTTTCCTTCACTGCACAGCGAGTCGCTGACCTAAAACAGGTACATGCATATCATGTGTCCCCACAGCCCGCTGAATGTTTTTGTTCCAGATCACCTACTCACTGTGGAGGCAATGTATCAAAACTGGAGCAGACAGAGAAGCGGATTGAGAAGCTGATTGGTTGCCATGGACAGCTGCGCCAGATTTTCTCTACTCTAGTTTTGATAAATTCCCCTCCATGGGCTCAAATCACAACCCAACACACCGGGAGAAGTATACTGATTTACAGAAAAGTGACATATTTTTAGTGGAGTCCAAAGAAATTTGAAAATTATAGTCACAGAATGGAAAGAAGGGTTAAAGCTTTGTGAATTGAGCCTTATGTCATGTAAAATGGATAAGACCCCCGAAGATTGCACTTTAAAAACAAGCCATCAATGGCAGATCCCATGTTTCTATACCGACAGGTTCCTTTTACTCTAAAGGTCAATAATAGCGTTATTCAACCTACCTTTCAAGATTGCTGCTTTGGTGTCACCCTTGACTCATCCCCTCTTCATTCCTCAAATCCAGAAAATGTCTCAGCCATGTTGTCTCCACATCTCCAAAATGCCCCTGCTCCGTCAAAAAACTACTGAGAAAAAGCTAGTCCCTGCCCTGAATGTATTGCCTGTGCTGCTGCAGCCTCCTCTTGTCTAGTGATACAGTAACTTTCAACTCTACAATAAGTCATGAATGTAACCTCTCCAAAAATCCATGTTAACTTCTGATCAAAATGAAAAAGTACATGCTAAAGTTTCGTATGAATAATGCATTTAAAACATCTGCCCCCTCTTCCCGAGCTTTATTATGGAGAACAAAACCTAGACAGAACCAATAGGCAAATTACAACTTTCAGCACGTTGGCCTTGGCTCCCCCATGTTTCGAGTGAGGCTTGTCTATCACACTGATGGGCCAATCATGAATCATAGGTCTTGGGAGGGGCAGGACTAAGCACCAACTTTGTTTCATAAAGTGGGTACTTGCATATTAAAATGAGTTGTAGGATGCTCAGGGTTATCTGGAGTTTTTGTGTGCTAGAGCACTTGTATAGTAGGTCTAGAGGTCAATTGGACTTTGTGGGAGGAAGGCATGATTAAGACCTAGTTCACACGGGCTTCAGTGTGTACAAGAGCCACCATGCTGGTCCCGGGCTCACACTGGGCGCAGCGGATCTCCGGACCTGCAGAGGGGGGCGCACAGACTTGCACCTTATACAAGCGATCCACCGGCTCTGTAGCCGGCGGATCACTTATATGTAAACAGGCATCACTGCCCGTTTTTAAATTTGGGCAGTTTCCCGCTCGCGCACAACGCGCAGCACGCGCAAGTCGGCGGGGCCAACTTCAAGCTCACTCACATGATGGCCTACAATCTCAATACAAATTAGTAAACTAAACCTGAGATTGTAGTCTGTCACGAGAGGGAGCTTGGAGCGGTGACTACTTTACAACACACACCGGGACCATGGGGAACAAATGTAGCCACCCTCCAGAAGGAAGGACAGTGTCAGCACCAATTCAGAGATGATTTGAGGATCTACAGCTGAGTGATTCACAAATAAAATACATTTTTGTGAATAGTTAAAGTACTTGAATGTATTTTTAAAATGTTTAAGATTCAACTGCTGAGTTTAGTGTCACTTTAACATACCCAAACTGGAGCTGAACGGAGCTTTAACAAAACTTGTCAAAAGAATGCCCTGTGAAAGCTTGCAGCTCGAACAGCTCTTATACCAGCTGAAGCTTGTGTGAATTAGACCTTATACATAAAACTTTAGGATGTACTTTGTCACAGTAATCCAAAGTGGAGAGGCTAGCAGAAGGCAACATTAGTGACACAGTCTGGAGCAATCATGGGGTCTGCGTTAATATGATGGTGGCACCTCACATTCCACGAGGTCAGTAAAGTGTCACATTAAAGTTCGCCTGTACCAAAACAATGAACATTAGAGTGTTTATTTACCCTTAACAAGCAGTAAAAAAAGGGTTTTAAAAATCAAGCCCTTGCTGAACTCTCTAGCTGTATGTACTGTGAAATAATGTACCCTCCAACATCACAACAGAGAGTGTAAAGTCAAGTTTCAGTTTTGAACAGCTCAGAAAAACCTCCTGCAGGTTTAGATTACAGGCCTGGCAGGCTGGCACGATTGTGCTGCCATAGTAACAGAAAAGGAGCCAAGATGCAGGGCCCCTCTGTTGGGAACTTTGAAGGTGAATTTCTCCACAATGCCTTTAGTTACAGAGATGAGTGGGGGCTTGTTTAAAAACTGCTTGTTCAGAATATGTAAATACTTGTGTGGGTAGTCTGGACACAGGTTCACTTGAAGATGTACAATTCAAAGCCAGTAGCCATTCTGGAAAATAAACATGCTGTTGCCTAAAGCAACAAAACATACTTTCTGATTTATCTGGCCTACAAGCCCAAGATATGATATTCTATAGTGTTCTTTTCCACAGTTGTTAAAGTACATCTTTAATGGCAGAACTATGTAGGCTGCCATTGTTGATCTTTCATTTAAAGAATGTATTCCTCCTACCTGTCATGCTGATGCTAAAGCTTAACGATTTTAACTGCCAAGCCCTCCAGAATACTTTTAACCTCAGCTGGCCACACTATTTTGCAATTTTTCCACATTGTTTTGATTTTCTACTGTTGCACTGCTAACGTTTGTAAAAGACCCCCCAAACCATATATTTTCTGAAAGCATAGTAAAATAAAAAGGATAGTGCTACTAATTTTGTAGGTCCTGCCATAATTGTGCAAATGTTTGTCAAATCAATATTAAACTGATACAAGTACACAATTCAATTGATAAAGCACACTAAAATCAGCAGGGCTTGAAAAATTTGATGGTGTCTCACCAGTTAGTCACAAATGTCACCAGGTCAGCATGACCGGACTACAGCCTTGCAATTTATGTTAAAAAATGTTGGGGACAGATAGAGCTTTCTTTTGTGACCCCACAGGGTTGTTTTTTTTTTTTTAACTATATAATTAAAAAAGTACCATAAACGTAAAAAGCAAAAACAAAAAGTTCCCCTACGTTATGTTATAAAACATTTATTCTTACCCATATTTTTAGTAAAACATAAAAGTCGGGGTCACGTCGGGTAAATGGACATCAAACATGTCAAGCCCTAAAATTGCATGCGCCCGCAAAAATCGCAAAAAACGCTCATAGGCGACGATTAAAATGCTTTTACTGCTCATCAGTTTAGTGTCATCAGTGATTAACGGCTCTAAAATTATTGCTCTCACTCCGTTTGCGGCGATATGTAACATGTGCGGCACAATAGGTGTTTTCGCACGTAGGCGCACCCGACGCATATCTGCGTGTGTATGTGGGGGGGCGGGGACTTAACATTTTTTTCTTTTTTAATGCTTTATTTTTTTTATGATTCTTTAATTTTTGCATTACTTTTTTTTTTTTTTAAAGGGAGTTCGTATACTGAACTCCCTTTGATCTCCTGTCACAGAGCCGTGCCGGTTCCGGCCGCATCGGGCACAGCAGATCCCGGGACCGGCAACGCAGTGACAGCTGCTAATACAAGCGATCGAGCGTCTCTAGAGACACCCGATCGCTTGACTGTGTTAAGCTCCCGGCCGGCCGTGTAATTACAACTGCCGGCCGGGAAGCTGCTCGCTGGGCTCCACCGTCCTCTCGTCACAGACGAGGAGACGACAAGTGGATTTTTCCAGCCCTGAAAATCAGCATCAGTGCACAAAAAAAAGAATTCCGACTAAATATAAAAGATAAAACTGTATTGAGTAAATAACAAATTTGTGAATTTTTCCATCTTTTTGCAAAACGGTAAAAAAAAAAAAAATTGACGCAAAACTGTAAATAAGAGGCTTATGTTAAAAATCGTTTGTGCGCTGAATTGGCTGTGAATATGTGCTGTGATAAAATGATGCAGGTGTACATTTAATCGCAACATAGCGTGTCACACAATGTTATTTGAAAAAGACAGAGTCCTCAATCTTTTTCTGCAGCCTCAGCACTCAATGACTGGAAAGCACTCCGTACAGAGGCTTCGCATTCATTCACAAACTGGAGATATTAAAACATTTACAATCATCCAGTTATGAATGGATAGAAGCCTCTGTACTGAGTGCTTCTCACCATTCAGAAACTCATGAGTGAACAGGAAGAGCAACACGGCAATACATCACAATGCTTTGCTATGTGCTGCCACACAGTTATATTAATGTTATTTGAAAAAAGAAAAAAAATCAAGCACTGCAATATGTTCTAGCAATGCACCACAGCGCATGTGCAAGGCGTACACCACAATATGGTGCACACTGTTGCACGTGTAGGTTATCCGGGTGTGTGTATGTGGGGTGTTTCATTTTTTTAAAATTATTTTTACTTTGGCTGGGAGGCTTTGGGGAGATATCAGGGGTATTAACAGACCCCTGATATTTCCCTTTTGAGATAGAAAAAGAAACTGGAGGACACACAGTCCAATTTTTTTTTCTGCAGCCTCTGTTCTAAATGAATGGAAAGTATTCCCGTTCACAAACTGGTGAAAGTGAAATATTTACCATCAACCAATTATGAATGGATAGAAACCTCTGTAGTATGTGCTACTCGGCATTTAGAAACTCATGAATGAACAGGAAGTGATGTAAAGCACTCCCTGTTCATTCATAACTGGGGACACATAGTACTAAGTTACTATGTGTCCTCAGTTATTTACAAACACTGGAGTGATCAGCTGATTACTCCAGCGTTTGTTCTGCACACAGAAGTCTGGTAAATATCACTGATATTTACCGATCCTCCGAGTGAATGAAGGATCCTAGAATAAAGTATGCATCCCCCCCCCCCCTAACACATTCATCTGATTGCTGCACTGAGATTCGTTTTATTTATGCCTGGAATTCCACTTTAAGTACCTTTTTTCTATACATTAGATCAAAACGAGGGACAATGGAGGAGGAAAGAGGTAACCAGTTCCAAAACAGAGGCAGTTCTACTTGCTACTGGAGATCAATCTAAAAACACAACACACCATATCTCACTCACTATCCCTAATAATCAGGAATTCTCGTCTGAGAACATGCAGCCAACACCATACATCATAGAAGGTTTTGTTTGGAGGCTCAGACATAGCCGGACAATGACTTCCTCCCTGATGAGATTCAGTCAGCTGTAAAGTGAGCGCTCCATGCCTCTCAATGTCTATCCTAATGCTGCGGTTACGTCACCTCGGAGTAATACGTAGAGAATGCATCTTCTGCCGAACCAGACGACCCACCGGCCTCGGAAGCCGCCATGTTGCCGCCAAGCACATCTATGCTTACGTCAGACGTAAGTCACGCCGCAATCTGGGCGGTGCACCCTTACGTCACGTACGGCGCTTAACCCACTCGTGTCCGACGATATTCACCCACGTGTTATTTACAGTTTAACGACTACACAATTGTAAAGTTTCCAAGAACTACAAAGGCAAAATGAGTGTTCCCTCGAAAGTCAGGGACCTTTATCTAGATTATATATAATAATTCCTACCAAAGCACTATGTAACGGGGAACAAATGCAAAGAGTATAATGGAACGTCGCTTCTTTTAATGTAAGCATAAAATGAACGGCGAGTTTTTGACTAACTGATTCTGCCATGCGAAAGAACACCATTGTGCTCACAGCGCCCTCTGCTGCTGTCCTCCAGTAGCGCTCTGAGCAGGGGGATCAGTCTAGTCTAGGTACATATATAAGACCTGCAAGAGAGGTTTTGTTCGCTTCTGGAGATACAGCTCTAACCTATTACCCTTTAGTATTGGTCCGTGTTGCCCAATCCTTAAACCAAAAGCGTACATCAAACAAAAAAAGGGAAGATACGGGCCGCCTACTGCTTGTAGGTTGTCCAAGGGTTAATTCAGATATCGGGACGGACCATCATTATTAATTTATAAAAAATATTATTTATTTAGTATAGCAGAATAGATCACAAACATAGGCCAATCTTTCTTCATTGACCAATAAAAACAAAAATGAAGCAGTGTGAACTGATCATTATTTCTCTTGCTTTAGCTGGAGCTGTTTAAACTCAAGTGTTCTATATCACCTCCCACGGATTTTCCTATATGTCAATCTTCTCCTTTTGGTTTCAACGTGTGTTTGGTATCTTAAATGTCTTCCCCCTATGGGTTCCCTTTTGGGCTTACTCCTTATGGTTTGGATGTTTAATCATTCTTGTTTGGTACCGGTGGTAAGATTAACCACTACCTTGCCTTGATCAGTGTCTCTCCCCTGGTGGCACCGATCACCTATGATTAGTTAGAGGCTTTCATAGGTCCCTTGATGGTATTCGGAGGTAAGCTACTCCTTTGTGTGGACACAGCTGAGACTGTTACCGCTAGTTAACAGTTAATAGTCAAAAATGGTTTTGCGGCATATGGTATACTGTGGGTATGCTTTTTAACTTTCTATTCAGGGTTTTGATTTCACTCGATTAGTCCAAAAATTCGTTTTTCCTTGTGATGACAATAGTTTTTCTTTTGAGAGAAAAAAAGATTTTTACTCACGTATCCAGTCGTCGCTCTTTTTGTGTATTATTTAGCTTACCTCTCCATTCTGAGGGGAAGGTTTCATTAATTTTAGTGAATGGATTGGCCCAAAGGGTTGGTCCTTAGTGTAAATGCATGTATATGAAGGCTTTGGATTCCCAAGAGGTCCGTATGTTTTGTATGCGTTTCGACCCTCCCCCGAGGCTTCGTCAGGACGTCCTGACGAAGCCCCGGGGGAGGGGCGAAACGCGTAGACGTTACACATGCAATGCTTGGAGTAAAACCTTAAGAGAAACTTCTTCACCAAACACCGCGGATCCTGACGGAAAATAAATCCTTTTGGAAATAACAACATACGGACCTCTTGGGAATCCAAAGCCTTCATATACATGCATTTACACTAAGGACCAACCCTTTGGGCCAATCCATTCACTAAAATTAATGAAACCTTCCCCTCAGAATGGAGAGGTAAGCTAAATAATACACAAAAAGAGCGACGACTGGATACGTGAGTAAAAATCTTTTTTTCTCTCAAAAGAAAAACTATTGTCATCACAAGGAAAAACGAATTTTTGGACTAATCGAGTGAAATCAAAACCCTGAATAGAAAGTTAAAAAGCATACCCACAGTATACCATATGCCGCAAAACCATTTTTGACTATTAACTGTTAACTAGCGGTAACAGTCTCAGCTGTGTCCACACAAAGGAGTAGCTTACCTCCGAATACCATCAGGGGACCTATGAAAGCCTCTAACTAATCATAGGTGATCGGTGCCACCAGGAGAGAGACACTGATCAAGGCAAGGTAGTGGCTAATCTTACCACCGGTACCAAACAAGAATGATTAAACATCCAAACCATAAGGAGTAAGCCCAAAAGGGAACCCATAGGGGGAAGACATTTAAGATACCAAACACACGTTGAAACCAAAAGGAGAAGATTGACATATAGGAAAATCCGTGGGAGGTGATATAGAACACTTGAGTTTAAACAGCTCCAGCTAAAGCAAGAGAAATAATGATCAGTTCACACTGCTTCATTTTTGTTTTTATTGGTCAATGAAGAAAGATTGGCCTATGTTTGTGATCTATTCTGCTATACTAAATAAATAATATTTTTTATAAATTAATAATGATGGTCCGTCCCGATATCTGAATTAACCCTTGGACAACCTACAAGCAGTAGGCGGCCCGTATCTTCCCTTTTTTTGTTTGACATATATAAGACCTAATTGGTCAATTCATTCACCTGATTTCCTAACTCTCTGAAGCAGTGCTGTTTAGCTTACTTGATAAAAGAGGCACTGAGTGAGACCCTAAACATTATTAAAGGGCCACATATAATATTTAGTGAATGTAAGGCTACAGCAAGCTGTCAAAGTCAGCTTACAATAGATTATCAGAAACTGCAGATATGCTACAGGAGATTGTCAGAAAATGCAGATATGTTACAAGAGATAGTTAGAGACTGAGATGACCAGAGACTGGAAACATGCTATAGGAGTTGTTGGAGAATGGGAACATGCATGATTTAGGAGAAAGTCATAGGTGGAAGGCACATTACATAAGACTGTTAGAGATGACTGCTATTACAGACCCTTTCTAGATCAAGGCCTCTACGTCTGTAGTTCCTACGGTGCCCTTAAAATTTCTTGTGCTGCATTTGATATTTCAGCAAGATCAATTCTAAAAGATGAGATGACGATTCACATACCTTGAAATAAAAAGGGTGATACATGGTGGGTATTCATCTCATAAAGTATTTCTAATCCCAAGCACTTAAACCTCATACACTTTAACGTGTTAAAGTATAGAGTAGGAAAGGGATAAAATAATTTTTGTGCTACCGGTACTCACCATGAAATCATTTTCTTGGGCGTTCACTGAGAGACACAGGAATGCAGGAATTCTTAGACATTCCGGTTACACTGCCACCTACAGGAAGATTAGGACACTGGCAGACAAAAAAAACAGTACGTATAATCCCTCCCACTCCCAGCATGCTCCAGTTTTGTAACAAAGCAGTACAGAGAGTAAAACCATAAACAGAGAGGGGTGGGACCTGTAATTCCAAGAAAAGGATTTTTTACGGTAATTACTACATACTGGACACAGGTATGTAGTAATTCTTAAACATTTGAGAAGCAAAAGCAGTCCATCTGAGAGGGTAGCCAACACAGCAAACAAAACTGACAAGAAGCAATCAGAACAGTGTAAAAACTGGGGACTGCCTACAGCTCAAAGACCTGCTTGGTGGACCTTACGCCCAAAGCTGGCATCAGATGAAGCCTGAAAATCCACCTGGTAAATCTTAGGGCACATTTGAACCAAAGACCAGTTGGCAGCCGTGTAAATCTGTAAAAGGGAACCCAACCTTGGCTTATTGTTCAGAGGAATCAGACAGTAGTCCTAGGGATGAAGGTAGTCCAGTGAGTGAATGCCCCAGGTGAAAAAAAGAAAAAACTACCCTAATAACTAGAAGATTTTCTGCAGGGACTCCCTCATCCCCAGAGCCAGATCTGCTGGCCTGTTCAGATCCCAGACTGGCAGTGAATGGGAGGAGCCAGGAAGAAGGGGGCCATCCTGAGAGAGGGTACACCATATGTCCTACACTCCCTCAATGGAAGTGAAGGGATATACTCACTGTCTGATGGCAAGGGATCTAAAAGGTACACAAGGTATCGTTTTTGGGGTTTTTTGGGAGGACTTAAGTTGGATAGCCTCACTTACAAGTGACCACCAATGCCATCTTACAGGAGTTAAGTCCTTCGGGGAGGTGCTGAATAAAGTGATTCATAATACTAGCTCTCTGTACAGGAAGCCATTTAAGGATCGCACAATAGGAATGCCAGGAGAGGGCACTACACTGAACCAATACTCTGTAAAGTAGCAGGCCTATCTGGTCGATACATAGGATCCAGATACCTATCCAAGTAGGGAACAGCTTGGGATTGTCCTGGTTGATGGCCTGGAGAGGAGGGACCCTGAGGCACGTACAATAAGGGGCAGTTCATGTCCCAAGGAAAGGGGGCATTCCAGAGGTTTGCACAGCTCAAGAAGTTAACAGTTAACTGGAGCAAGGTCCTGGGCTTACAGAAGTATACCTTAATGCCATGGGCTTTCCAAAGGGGTTAGTTGATCTCTGAGTTTAAGCTCTATGGGCTTAGGGGGAATTAGGCTCATAGAGCCTGGGGGTACATACTACAGTGGTAGATGAAGGAAAAGGGTGGGATACAGCCGACCTATCCCCAGACATCCTATGTTAGGGCAGGAGCATGCTCTGGCCTCTTAACACATTACTTACCATGGTGTCCAGTGTAGGGCTGCAGAGACTACATCCATAAAAGGCCAACCAAGCCAGAAGCTCTTTGGATATGCCATCAGCTTCCCAGCAGTGCAATCATAGTGCCCTGCTTATCTGTATGGAGATCAGACCCATAATAAGGATATAAGTTTAGATGCTTATAACAAGCCATTACAAATGAAGCATCTCCAGACATTTTCTCCACTTGCCTCCTCTTGTGGAGGAGAAATTCCTTTGGAGAGAACTAACACAGTAGGGTAACTGCTAACATCAGAGGGCAGAACCAGCCAGTTCAAACTGGGGTTTGAGCAGGGATTCTAATTGTCTGCAAGTAGAATCTTTAAAAGGTAAGCACTCATTTCCAGTGGTGTTCTTGTTAAGGTGGTACATTGGTTAAACCTCAGTAGGAAAAGTGAACTGTTTAATTAGTTCCCTCTCATAAGAACACATATCGATCACACACTCAGTTGAGACCCAGGACCCCTGAGGGTGCT